TCTTTATGAGAGTGAAGATCTCAGCCTATATTTAACAGCAAATTTCCAAAGACGTGATAGAAAAGAGAAACTCTTGAGATAATTGATCTCCTCTTTATTCTAAGTCTCTAACCCTGTAACCCTGGGACCTCAGCCATGTGTCAAATCAGGTAACTGAGACTGTCCTGATGTTGCACGCCTCTTCTGCCAAGGAAGAACTGAGAATTGCATACACATTTGCCCAGTAAAATGCCATGCTAAACATCTAATTTGGAGAACCAATACCTTGTTTTTTCTAATGTTACATTCCCTTCTCACTTCTAGGGGAGGGAGGGAGAGAGAGACAGAGAGAGAGAGAGAGAGAGAGAGAGAGAGCGCATGCGCAGGCCTATTTGGTGGTAAAGGAGGTAAAGGGGGCTGTGTGTTGGGGTAGGGAAAAGGCTAGTTCTTCATGTTAGGAGTAAATTTTTTTTTTTTTTGATTCTATCATTTAATTCACTAATTTCTTTAAAAGTACAGTTTTTCTCTCACTAGCAGTATTCCTGAGAAATCAAAGCAACTGATTAATCATATTTTTTAAATGTTCAATGTATTGACAATAGAGGAGAGAAGGTTGCAAAAAAATAGGACCCTTTCTAGTGAAGAAAGAATTTTTTTTTGAAGTTTTTGAAAAAGTGTTTCCAGTGAATAAGCTATAACAGCTGGGTGGGACATTGTGATGTTTGTTTTTAAAATTAGGATAAGTGGCTTAGGTACTTGACATAATTAATAAAGAGATAACCCTGTAGCCAAAGTGCTGTTGAATACTCAAAGTCTATTTTAGTTTAAAAAAAAAAGAAAAGGAAAAGTTCACACATTCTATGTGTTAGTATGTTCTGGCTGCTGTAACAAAATACCATAGATTTGATCACTTAAACAACAGGGCACAGATCCCATCTTGGTCCCCCCACCCTCATGACCTCATCTAAAGCTAATTACCTCTCCACAACTCTACCTCTGAATATTATCACATTAGAGGGCAGAGCTTCAACTTGTGAATTGGCTGGGGGGAAGATACATTCACTCTGTAAATGTATTTTATTGTAAGGAAGAAATACTAAATGAATTAATCAAATAAAATAAATGCAGTTCATTTTTCTCCATGATAAAGAACGATTAATAAACTGTTAAAACACAATAATTTTTCCTGGGCTTCTGTGTATTCTAAAATTCACCACCCTTTTCTCTTGTGACTTAATTACAACAGTGTAGCACGTGGATGTTGCCTTTGACTTCCCAACATCTTTTCTACCCTCCCCCAGTATGTGGCTTTAGTCAGCTTCCAGGTGAACTTCGATTCCCTGTATCCAGTGGTAGAATCCTAGTCCCCTTGCTAGCGACTGCTTAAAAACCCAGAACTAAGCCAATTATTTCATGACTTTCCTCTGGAACCAGTTAATGGCTCAGGGTTGAAAATGTGAGCCCTTCTGGCCAAATCAGATTGAGGAAGGACATTTGTTCCATCGTTGGGGAAGAGACATGTTTTATTTCCCTTTAGATGTGACAAAGAGAAATGTGTAGCCTGGTTTATCATTGGCAGTTATCTTGCAATCACAAAATTGGAGAGAAGAAAAGAATATACGTCCTCAATCATATTACTGACTTTCTTGAGAAGCTGTTATGTTTGTTCTTCACTATGCATTCATTAATTTGAAACAATAAATTTCCTTATTGGCTTTTTAATTACATGTTTCAAAAAATGTGATGGCATACACAAATAGTACAAGTCTTGGTGATGAACATAGTGGATCTAAAGAGGAACTTAAAATTCATGAAACATTTGCATCACTTTCTGCAAAAAAATACAAATACAGATTAAAGTTTTATTTTATGTGAAAATTTAAATTTGTACACATTAGACTCACTCTCAACAGCAGAGGGTGGGGACAATATCTGGGTTTACTTTTGTTCCCAGTACCTAATATGGAAATTAAGTAATTTGTCTCTACAAAATTTAGTTTAATTAATACAATATTTATTATGTATTTAGGTTGCTTGTATTAACTCAGTGGTTTGAAATATCTTTGGAATTATGACATTCTTTTGCTCAATTTGGATTATTTAGAACTCTCAATGAGCTCACAGCTTAGTTGGGGAGACAAGTATAAATAAACATTTATGATATAAAGTGATAGACACAAAAGTAAAATGCTTCCAAGGCCTGGAGGAAGGAGTACCTGGCTCTGACTGCAGTGTGGTCTTGTTGAGGAAATATTTCCTGATAATTACATTCTTAAAAGTTGTGTAATAGTTTACCTGGCAGGCATGAGGGTTGGAGAGGTGAAGAGAGGGCCTTCTAGGCAAAGGGAACAGCACGTGCAATAACACAGTTAGGTAGAAAATAAATCATGACATGATTAAGAAAATCTAAATAGTGCAACGTTTCTGAAGAGGAAGAGAAAGGAATGAACATCTGTTGGACAACTTAGTTGTGTTACAAGCTTAGCTAGATTAACATATAGTCTCTTATTCTCAAAAAAATTTATAGGTTAAAAATACGAGGTTCATATAGAATGGGAAATTTGTCTGTTTTGGCACAGCAAGTAAATAGTGGAGCTAGGATTTGAATCTGGGTTAGTCTGGAGCTCATATTCAGGTTTTCTCACTAAAACATGATTCCTATCTGAATCTTAGGTTACGTGTAGGCAACAGCAGGAGACAAGGCTTCAAACTTAGGCAGTGCCAGATAGTAGGATCCCTGTGTGCAGTGGACAGTTGGAAACACAAGGCTGATTTAGAGACGATTTTGTTGATAATAAACAATTTGATAGTTACCATCCTATTGGTTGTCTTCATCACATATCTGTAGTCATGGTAATCCAATGATAACATTTGGGGTGAGAAAGGAGAAGGCCAAACGAAGCTTGAGGAATGCCAATAATTAAGGAATATTTATGGAAAAGGAGCCAGAGAAAGAGACTGAAGAAGAGTGACCAGAGAGGAAACAGTGGGAGAAGGAAGCCAAAAGAGTTTAGAATTTCAACCTAAAAGGTGGCAGTTAAGATGCTTCAGGAAGTCACAGGTAATTAAGCTTCAGTAATGTATGTTCTCCCATCTTCATTCCAGTAAGTGATCGATGTATGTTATTAAAGGGAATTATTCCTCCTCAAATTTTTTTAAAAAACATTATTGCAAGTAGACTGGCCACCTAATGGGAACAAGATGTTTCAGGGAACCTTGATCTCAGGAATTCTGATGGAATCTCAAAGTTGGAAGTTATCTTACAAATCACCTTTATGTAATAGATAAACTATTTGAATATTTATGCCTATACTTGCCTATTCAAGTATACAAGAAACTTATTCCTGATATCACTGAGGTTAGAGGCCTAGAAGACACCTGCCTTTTCTTGTTTACAGGAACAATTTGCTCCTTAGAATGTATCAGTAGTAATAAAAACAATGTAAATTTCCAAATGTATGTCACTTTTGTGGTGTCTTATAGGTTTCAGTGTTCTTTCATGCATATTTATGGTTTGATTCTCTCCTTAAGCTTGTGAATGAGATACAGAAATAAACGGCTCTAATTTACAGATGAGCAAACAAAGGTTCATTGAGGTTACTGTAAATGAACTTCAGGTCCCTTAGAGGTTAATTAATCAGGGAGAAGAAAAAAATCAGCTCTGATAACTAGCCTTCTCTTAATCACAGTACCATTAGATAGATGTTTACAGTCTTGTGTACTGGTCTCTCCCTTTTCCTCACTTCTTTTCATGTGAAGCTTGCTTCTTCAATTCTGCAGTAATCCTCAAAGAATGCATTCCAGATTTATATCTCTTCTGGTGGAATCTAACAGTAAAGATGGGCCATACCCAAGAGTTTTTCACGTGTCAGTTACCTGTCATTTTGACCATATTCCCTGGCTTTCAGTAGAGATTAAGAAATAGGTGTTGCTTATTTAAGTGAGAGATCTCCCCTTTGAAGCTGGATAAAATGGTGACAGAGTTCTGTTTTTATAGTATTTAGGAGATTAAAGAGTCTTCTGGGTTATTTAACACTATTTTATAGCATTTAGGAGAGAGATTAAAGAGTCTTCTGGGTAATTTAACCACTATGCAAAGTCAGTCAGGATATGTCAGCCTGTTGAGTATGCTTTCCTTTGGTTTGAATTCTCCATACAATTCTCTGTTCTGGTCAAACTGATGAGCCATCTGCTGAGCTTGCCCTTCACAGTGTTCCAGAGAGAAGGTGCTTCAGAATTTGGACATCCCATGCCCTACAAACCAAACAACTCGTAAGAAAAAAAGGCATACCCAAAGATAGACATGACTTTTTGTTTTTCTGACTTTTTTTTCCTTCTGTAATCTAAGAGCAGTGTTGGAGTTTGATTTTAAGTTTTGACATTTAGATTTTAGAGATACATAGAATTCATAACTTAAAAAAGAAAAGCTGTCCAAAAATGTAACTTCTATGGATAGAAACCTTCAAATGAACCTGTCTCAGGGGCTGTGGGCTTATGATTTACAAGTTGGTTTTGACTGTTTTCACTGTGGGTCCTCTGATCTTGCCCCTGGCTATTCTTTTTCTCTTTACAGGCATTTCTCAAAGAAAAGAGGAATACATCTGTGATCAGATTGTGATATATCCATCTCATACATAAAGAGACTTGATCTTGCTCCCAAGGTCATGCTATCATGCCCTTATCCAAATGATTCATCACCACCACACACACACACACACACACACACACACACATACACACACACACACACACATACACACACACACGAGAGAGAGAGAGAGAGAGACTCATTGCCTTTTCCTTGTCCTTTTATGGATGAACATGGAGAAAATTACAGCTTTTAGACAGGAACAAAATGCTTTTCTCCTATTCTGTTTTGTTTTCACGAACTCATTGTCCTTTCCTTGACTCCACCCCCTCCCTCTCATTGTAAACTTGGAGTCCACAAACATGATCTGCTTGCCATCCCCCATTCAAGCTGGTCTTTTTTAGTGCCTACCCACAATTTGCTGAGTAGTTAATCTGGATGAGGAAATATCTGCAAGGCCACTTGGCAAGACTTGAGATTTTCCATTCTTTGTGAAAACGAATGAAAAGGCAATTATTGCCTCACACTGTTCTGAGTATTCCACAATGAACCTCTTCTCTACTTCCTGAACAGAATCCTCAGCTACTGCCTTTTATCTTCCGTCACTCCCTGACTTCTTGGCCTGATGTTATCTGACCAACACTGAGACAAACATGTCTTTGGGTCTTGGTAAGTGGCTGTGTTTCTCTGTTGGGAACAACCATTGTACAAGCAGGAAAACATTTGTTGAATGCTCAAAATATTCCAGGAACTGAAGGATATAGAGGTAAATGAGATAGTCTTTGCTCTTTGCAAAGAGTTCCCTTTATAGCAGGTGGGACTATCATGTAAATAAATATTACAATTTCAAACTGGGTGTAGTGGCTCATGGCTATAATCCCAGCACTTTGGGAGAATGAGACAGGTGGATCACTTGAGTTCAGGAGTTCGAGACTAGCCTGGCCAACATGGTGAAACCTTGTCTCCACTAAAAAAAATGCACACACAGAAAAATTAGTGGGTATGGTAGTGGGCACCTGTAATACCAGCTACTCAGGAGGCTGAGGCAGGGGAATCACTTGAACCCAGGAGGCAGAGTTTGCAGTGAGCCAAGATTACACCACTACACTGCAGCCTGAGCAACATGAGGAGACTCTGTCTCAAACAAAAACAAAAAAAACCCAAAAACCAAACAAATATTGCAATTCCAATTTGTGAGACTCTCAAATCAAAAGAAGCTTATACTAAGTATAGGACAGAGAAAAAGAGTCTGTAACTAGCTTCGGGGGTGGCGAGTAAGGAAGAATTTCTGGAAGAGTTCTAGATGAGTAGGTATTTTTCAGATGGATAACAGGGAAAATGGAGGTGGATGGTCGGGGAGGGAATGGAAGGAAATGAGACTTGTAACAAAGGCAGAGGTCAGTTCATATGGGTCTTTGGGGAACATGATCAGATTTGCAGTTAGAAACATTACTTTGACTTAGCCTAGATGCTGGATTCAAATGCCAATGCTGGGACCAGTATCTACTTAAATTAGGGTTTGATAAGCTACTTCAAGGGTCAAATCTGGCCCACAACTATCTGTTTGTGTAAATAAGGTTTTATTGGAACACAGAAACACACATTGGTTTATATGTTTTCTGTGGCTGTTTTTATTCTACCAGAAAATAATCGAATACAGTTGGTTCCAGGATTCCCATGAATACCAAAATCTGCAATGTTCAAGTCTCTTGTATAAAATGGCATAGTATTTGGATATAATGGATTCACATCCGTCTATATACTTCAAATCATCTCTAGATTACTTATAATACCTAACAGAATGTAAATACTATGTAAATAGTTTTTGTGCTGTCATACATCACTTAGCAATAGGAATATGTTTTGAGAAAGACTATTTCGTTCTTGTGTGAACATCATGGTATACACAAAAACCTAGATGACATAGCCTACTAAACACCTAGGCTATGTGGTATAGCCTATTGCTCCTGTACAGCATGTGACAGTACTGAATACTGTAGCAATTTAATATAATAAGTATTTGTGTATCTAAATATATCTAAGCATAGAAAAGGTACAGTAAAAATACAGTATAAAAAGTAAAAAATGATATAGTGCATTTACTATAGATGGAGCTTACAGGACTGGAAGTTGCTCTGGGTGAAATTAGTGAGTAAGTGGAGGGTGAATGTAAAGGCCTAAGATATCACTGTACACTACTGTAGACTTTAGAAACACTGTACACTTAGGCTATGCTGAATTTATAAATTTAGCATATATGTAAATTAATTACAACCTTTTAACTTTGTGCATTTAAAATAATTTAAATTTTTTGACCCTTATAATAACACTTAGCTTTGGATATGTGTTGGATAGCTGTACAAAAATATTTTTTTCTTTATATCCTTACTCTATAAGGTTTGTTCTATGTTTATTTATTTTTACTTTTGAAAGTTTTTGCTCAAATCTAAAATACAAACATACACATTATCCTCAGCCTAGATGGGGTCAGGATTATCCAAATCACTGTCTTCTGTCTTCACGTTTTGTCCCTCCAGAAAGTCTTTAGGGTTAGTAACACGTGGAGCTGTCACCTCCCATGAAAACAATGCCTTCTGCAATACTTCCTCAAGCACCTTCCTGAGACTGTTTCTACAGCTGACTTTTAAAAAAATCAAGTAAAAGGAATACACTCTAAAATAAAGATTAAAATTATAGTGAATACATAAACCAGTAACATAGTTGTTTAATATCATTATGAAGTGTTATGTACCGTACAAGGGTTGTATGTGCTATACTTTTATGTGGCAGCACAGGAGGTTTGTTTATACTAGCATCACCGCAAAGACCTGGTGATGTGTTGTGCCATGATGTGAGCATGGCTAAGATGTCACTCGGTGATAGGATATTTTCAGAAATAATTGAATTATTTCTTCTCTTTTTTTTAATTTTTAAAAATATTTTCTACCCCAGGTTTGTTTGATACACAAATGCAGAACCTGTGGATATGGAGAGCTGACTGTAGCTGTAATGCAGGCCCGCAAAGTCAAAAATATTTACCATCTGGTCTTTTGTAGTAAAAGTTTGCCAATTTAAATAGTGCATGAATTGAAGTAATAGAATATAATACCTTGAACTAACGCTGAAGCAGGAACTACTTAGGAGGAAGAGAGGTTAGAATTTGGTGAATGATTGGGTTGGAGAGAAGGGTAGAGGTGTGGGAAACAAAGGGATCTTGCAGGCTTCTCCAGTTTCTGGATCTGCATTTAAAATAATGTTAGCATTGTGTCTTGCACAAAGATGCAAAAGAAACTGTCTTTGTCCTCAAGGAGCATCACATCCAGTAGAACAGATAATATGTGTACACAAAAATATTTAATACCAGTTTGAATATGAGGTCAAGAAATTTCAGGGAAGGGAGAGGATAATGTTTAGCTGGAATTTTAATGAAAGCTTACAGTAAGAGGAATCATTTGGGTTTTGAAGAACAGTGGACTTGAGAACAAAGGATTGATGGGAGGATGCAGAAGCAAAGATGGGGATCTGGACAGCAGGTGGAGAGAAGACAGGGACGCCAACTTTTGGAGCTTAAACTATTGGATAGACATTGGAAACCTGAAGGGTTTGAGCAGGAGCTGTACTTGGGTTACTCTGGCAATAAGATCAGAGTCAGGTGAATGAGGAAGAGGCCAAAAGAGAAAACTAACATTTGTTTTTCAAAGCTTAGCTTTGCTGACTCTCTCAACAAATATTTATCCTTCCTTCATGCTCCCATCATGCCCCAGGATGCCTTGAATTAGAGCACTTATTAACTGTGGATAGAACACAAGAGGCCAGAAACTGTGATACTCTTACAGGAAATACGGTTCAGTGGTTAAGATTTGCCTGGGTTTAATAATCTGTTTAAATTTTTTTAGTTATTTATTTTCAATTGACAGATTTTATATATTTATCCTATACAGCATATTTTGCAAGATGCATATATTGTGGAATGGCTAAATTGAGATAGTTAACATATGCTAATTGAGATAATTAACATATCTTTTTGGTGGTGAGAACACTAGTCACCATTATTGATCCCTTTTTGACCTTGCCCTCTTGATGTCTTGGTTTCAAGATGCCTAGGCCTAATAATTGTAACTCCTTCTATAATTAGTAGTAATTGTAACCATTTGTTGTGGCTATTAAATGATTTAATGTGTGAAAAGCACATAGTGGCTGGCAAGTAGTGAAGGCCAATAATGTTATTGATTATTATTTCTAGTGCCTAGCTAAGTGTTTGGAAATTAATAAGATTTGTGTTGAATGAGTGAATTTAAGGGCCACTAATGAGCCAGACACTTCAAACTGGCTATCTGGGGTTATCCTCCTCACACCCATGTGAGGAAGGTATTATTTCTAATTTTAGAGAATTTGAAGGGGTTCTGAGAATAAATGAAAGAGCAGGATAGATACTTAGAAGCTCTGTTTAATGGGGAGCTTGTAGGAGAGGGAGAATGTAAAGAAATGAGGGTAATGAATGGGGTGAAGCCCTGGGGGAGATGGGAGAGGAACTGGAACCAGAGCACAAGGGAAGGTCTTTGACTACTGTCCTGCAACAACACAGAAATCAGAGGGTAAATGTGAGGGGAGAGGAGGGAAAGAAAAGCATTCGCTGAGCAGGAGGTAAGCAGGGTTAGAAAACCTATTAAAGGAGAATTTAAAGAAGACTCCAAGTTCTTGAGCTTAGATGACTTAGAGGAATGATGATGCCATTTATAGAAATAAAAGTAGGCAGATTTGCTTTTTGGGGTGTGAATTTTCAGATTTAGTTTTAAATATAAAGATTCTGATACTCCCCAAACATTGAGGGATGAGTTGGAAATGTGGCCCTGGAGCTCGGGCTAGAGATGGGGATGGAGATAGACGTGTGGAAGTCATCTGCCTGGAGGTGAAGGTTGAAGTCAAAGGCATGGCATCTAGGAACCAATACAGGGTTAGTTAGTCCCATAGGCTGGTTCTCAACTCAGCCTGAGAAAGCACTGGCCAACGGGAAATGGCAGCCCGTGCCGGATACATATTTGTTAGCTGATTTGTGACCCTAGACTTCTTCATTGTCTAACAAAGATTTGGCAAGTGACTGGAGTGCCAAGAGTCATCTCTCAGGATCTTTTTGTGTGAATAAAAATCAGTGGTTGGAGACAGATAAATCTCTCTAAAACAGGAAAAAAGAAGATGGTGCAAAAGTGGGTCTTAAAGTGTCAGCTCCTTCTTAGTTTGTGGTGCTGGCTACAGAGCCAAATTTCCTTTGCCTGTACTAGGCACAGAGGTTTGGAAATGAATCTGCTTAAAACTAGTTCCCTCCTGCCCCACCCCAGATAATTCAATGCAAGTGAACATATTTGCCCAGAGAGGGTCATAAACACATCATAAAATCTGACCTTTCCAAGAGGGGATTATCTATAAATAACTGCGGTTATCCTGCGGGTGCTAGGCATGAGCTTGGTGGAGGGGCAGAGAGGAGACCAATTTCCTCTGCAAGCTCGGCGTCTCTCCGGAGGTGAGTGGCAGAAAGGACTTGAAGAGGCTCAAGTGTAAGCCCTGACAGTCATATCCCCAGTTTCCCCTGGCAGGGCCACCGCTGCTTCCACGGGGCTCCCTTCACATTGCTGAGCAATGGAATGTGGAAACCGGGAAAGAATAAGATTTCT